TCAAAATAAAATAAATTCAAGCAATAATAACAATACACCACAAATAGATGAAATAGAAAACTACTGGAAAGAAATCTGGAGTAACCCAAAGGAATATAAAGAATCTAATTGGATAAATGATATTGAAGATGAAAATAAAGAAATACCACATATGACTTCAGTAAATATAATTAAAGATGACTTAACCGAAGCCCTCAATAAATCCCACAATTGGAAAAGCCCAGGACAAGACAAAATACAAAACTTCTGGTATAAACACTTTACAACAGTTCATCAACCAATGGCAATAGCAATGAATAAAATAATACAAACAGGACAAACCGATGACTTCCTCACTTCCGGAATAACATATCTACTCCCAAAAACAGAAAATACATCAGATCCCAGCAAATATAGACCAATCACTTGCCTAACAACAATGTATAAAATCCTAACATCCATAATATCAACAAAAATATATAATCATTTAAGTAACAACAACATAATAGCTGAAGAACAAAAAGGCTGTATAAAACACTCAATGGGTTGTAAAGAGCAATTAACAATAGACAATATCATAACAATAAGAGCTCGTCAAAAACATAGAAATCTTGAAATGGCATACATAGACTATAAGAAAGCATTCGATTCAGTCCCTCATAAATGGTTATTAAGAGTGTTAAAACTATATAAAATTGACAACACACTGATAAACACATTAGAAAATATGATGAAAAAATGGAATACTAAATTGTGTGTCAATACAAATAATGGAACAAAAATAAGTACAGAAATCAAAATAAATAGAGGAATATTTCAAGGAGATTCACTCAGTCCTCTGTGGTTCTGCTTAGCTATAAACCCACTGTCATCACTACTTAAAAAGCTAAAAGGCGTAAATCTAAAATCAAGTGATACAAAATATAATCTAACACATCTACTATATATGGACGACTTAAAACTATACGCCGAAAAAGAATCTGATTTAAATGCAATGCTAAAAACAACAGAAACTTTCTCCAATGATATAAATATGGAATTCGGATTAGATAAATGTGCTATAATGAAACTGAAAAGAGGAGTCTATTCTGAAAGAAATCAATACGAAACTGAAAACGGATATATAAAGGCACTAGAAAATGGAGATATATATAAGTATTTAGGAATTAAGCAAATGCATAAATCTAAAATGACAGAAGTTAAAGAAGAAATAAAGAAAACATTAAACCAAAGAATAATAAAAATACTAAAATCTCAACTAAACTCAAACAACAAATTCAAAGCCATAAACACTTGGGCTATACCTGTACTGACATACTCGTTCGGAATAATAAAATGGAGTAAAACAGAACTTGAGACCATTGAAAGACATATAAGGCGACAACTTACAATGTTTGGACTACACCACCCTAGAAGTTCTGTAGCACGACTGTGTGTTAGTAGAAAGCATGGGGGTAGAGGGTTACTAAACATTGTAAGCCTTGAAGCCAAACAGCGAGAATTGCTGAGAAAATACCATCAACAAAAATGCAATGTCTCAGAGCTCCACAAAATAACATCAACACTTGATTACAACTACACACCTCTAAATCTCAGCAATAATGAACATCAAATAGAAATACAAAATGAAAAAGAGAGGATTAACACATGGGCCTCAAAAGAACTCCACGGTAGATACAGAGCAGAACTCAACCAAACACACGTAGACGAAGAAATGTCTACAAAATGGTTGAAGTACGCCGGTCTTCATGGAGAGACAGAGGGGTTCATGATGGCAATACAAGATCGAGTGATTCCGACACGAAACCATCAGAAATACATCCAAAAGCTAAATATACCAACAGACAAGTGCAGGATGTGTCATATGGAGTCCGAAACAATAGAACATATACTAAACGGGTGTAAAGTACTCACAAACACCGAATACCTAAGCCGTCACAACCAAGTAGCCAAAATCATACATCAGGAATTGGCAATAAGATTCGGACTAACCAAAGAACCATTACCATACTATAGATACGAGCCACAAAGTGTAATGGAAAGCAACAGAGCCAAGCTCTACTGGGATAAAGAAATAAGAACAGATAAGACTGTGGCCCACAACCGCCCAGATATAGTACTAGTAGACAAACATCAAGATAAGGCGTACATAATAGACATAGCGGTCCCACTAACACACAAACTACAGGACACGCATAGTGAGAAACGCCGAAAATATACAGACTTGGCCTATGAGATCAATAAGATGTGGCGCATTAAGAAAGTTGAAATCATACCTATAATCCTATCATCAATGGCCGTAATACCGAAAAATCTGGCCCTAAGTTTGGAATCACTGGAAATCAGAAAAACTAAGATCTATGAAATGCAAAAAGCAGTGATACTTCAGAGTTGTAGAACAGTCAGAAAAGTACTAGACTTGAGTTGAGTCTAACCAGTCGTGTCTCTGCCACCAAAAGTGGCCGACACAGCTGTGATCACACCGGAACAACCGTGATATACAAAGATAATAATAATAATAATACAGGTATTAAAGCATTGAATGTTTCTTTTGTTGGGGTTTTTAGTAACGCAAACTTTTTTTAGTTAAAATAAAATGATTAAAAAATTTACACATTTTTTATATAAAATATATTTATAAATTAAAAAAATATGATTTTAATCGATGTTAGCTTTTCATGACTTATATTGAGATGATATCACTAGAAAATCTTGACAAACAATTTGCAAATAAATGCCATTTAATGGGCGATACATTTATTTTTTATATATAAAAACCGGTCTCTCATCGCACACCAGTCCTTCCCATTTTTCATTACTATATTTAGCATATCTAACAAAATCTAGACAATGATTGTCCCCGTAATATAAACTAATTGATTTTGATATATGTATTATAATATAAACAGTCAAATATATATATATATATATATAATTTTTGTTTTTCTAATACATAAAGTTTAATTTAAAAATTTATCATTCAATTAATTTTATTATTAGGAAAAAATTATCTAAAATTGAATAAAAGGTTTTTCTCGATATTTATTTGAGTAAAATATTTTTTTTGTAAATAATTTATTAATAAATATTTTTATACAAAAAATAACTATTTGTCATATTTTGTATTTATTTAAAACAAAATATGCAATAAATTAATTTATTTAAAGAAATAAGATTTTTAACACTCAAAAATTTTTGATAGACTTATAGTTAAAATATGTTAATTAATTGCAGTTTCCTGTTATTATCAATAATAAATCATTAATTAATCAAACAGTTTGTTATCTATATTAATAAGAAACAACAAAAGGAGTTCAATAATTTTTTTTAGAGAGAGATAATAATATCTATAAATTTATGTACAAAACATTTTTTTACTAATGCTTATCATTTATTTTTGTGTATATTTTTATGTATTACTCAAAGCTATTTAAATGTTGGGTTAATGTCTTTGATAAGACATTTTAAGTAATGTATTGAAAATAGATATTCTCATAGAAAATGTGATCATTTTAAATGATAAGTCATCGCATTTAAGTGAATATCTATAATAAAATTTTTAAATTTGGTAGCAAATGATCTAAATTTTTGTTGTTGTAATTATTAAATATTAGAAAAAAAACTCTAATTACTTTATTTGACAAATTATAAAGATTATAATTTTTATTAATATGCAAAACTAAAGTTTTAAAAATGTTTATTTTAACTTACATTTTATAAAATATTTTATTTAAAAAAATATTATTATGTAATTAAAAATACTGTAAAATTATTTTTCAATATTTAATTATCACGTATAAATAAATAATTTTTAAAATACTGTATAATAATACTGAAAATCATTTATTGTATTTAATTTTACAGTAAAACTAAATAATAATAATGAAAATAATAAATAAAATTTTTCATTGTAGGCGTTCACTATATGTTATTTTTTGGCAAATACAGTGAATAATAATAATGTTAGTAATGCATTGAATAATCAAAAAGACATTCAAATATATACTGTAATAATAAAATGTTAAATATAATAATAATATAACAATTTTAATCACAACTTGAGATATGCTCTCTAAATGATTGCATTAATATTGTAGATAAAAACCATTTTCAAGAATAAAACTGTAGATCTATTATATGATATGATTTTTTTTTGGTATAAATATTTGGCATAAAAGGAGATATTTGTGTCAAATATATCAGTATTTATTGTTTTCGCTATAAAACAGTGTTTAAAAAAATGTGAATTTATTTTTTTATTAACACTTACTACTTGTATGAATAAGATATTAATTTTTTCGTTTATTTATCAGATACTTATCTATGTATTTCTCAATTAAAATCTAAATTAAATGTATTGCCAAACATAGTATTAACATTGAATTAACATTTTTCAATACAAAAGAATTAATAATAATATCAAAATATATATTTTTTCACAAACACTATTGTTTTTTAAAACAATGTTAAAAATCTAATATAAAATAATTTTTATAATTTAATTGTTTTGTTATAACTGTATCTGATTTTTGTGTCTCAAAGTGCAACTATGCAATTATTATAATTACGTAATAATGTTGATATTGTATAGATTTTTACTTAAATTTATATCTATAATATATTTAAAATAAAATTTTAATAATAAATAAAATTTTACATAATAATTAAGTATAATAATCTAGATTTCTACAGGTGCAAGAAGTTTATTAAAAAATAATTGAAAAAATTATTAGAAAAATGTTTACAATATATATAAACATTTTTAAATGATTTTACAAATTTTAACAAATTGTACAATAAATCATGAGTTGTAATAATTTTTAACTTTTATTTTTACTTATGAAATAAATGTAAAATTAATACAGTATTAATTGTATTTAGATAAAATAGTATTTTACAATTGTTATTCAATTAAAACAAAATATTCAAACATTTTAATATAATAAACTTTTTAAAAAACTTATTTTAAACAATTAATATTTTTAGTATTGCTAAACCAATTTAAAATTACATTTAATTTTGTAAAACACTTTTTACGACACAAATGGAGAGTGATATTGAATTTTATGGTTTTCTTATATCAAGGTATTTTGAAAATTTATATATATTTTTATTTATAAAAAAAAATTACTTCAAAATATCTGTAAAGTTCAAATAAAATCAAATAATCACTTAATCTATGTTTTATTATATGACTTTCAAATGGCGCTACAGTTAATTATGATGTGATTTTGTCATTTAAATAGAAAATACTTAATTTGTTTTATTATATAGTTTTATTGTATTTAATTAAATGATAAACAAATTATGGGATGTTTTCTGTTAATTGAGATAATGTATTACTAATACAGTATTAGTAATGTATATATATATTGTAATAAAATTTAGCGATAATTGTTTATAACATGTTTGACGTTTTTTCTATGGCAATAAATACCTCAAAAACAAATTGCCATCAATTTAAAAGACAATATAAAAGACATTTCTCGACAATTAATTTAAAGAGAAAATAAAACTTACACTTAAAACTTGCTATATTTATAACTAAACTTAACATATCGTCCTAAAAAAATAGTAAGAAATTATTATTATAAAAAAATTGTCAATTACTTTGAGACGACATCAATGGTTATCAAATGGTTAAGTAGATCTGTTTCGGCTTTAATTGTTGTATCAATAAGTAATTTATAACAATTTATTATACTATCAGATAAATTGGTTTGAAAATATTCAATAATTAATTAATTATTTTCCAATTCAATTAATTGTAATTTGTAGTGACTTTAATACTAATAATATTTAAGAATTTGATTGATTAGAATTAAATTTATTTTAAAAACTTCAATAAAATAATCAATAAAATGCCGAAACAGATATATATCCTATTAGTGAAAAAAAACTTTTTTGACTAACCATTGATGTCAATTAAATTAAACCAAAAAAAACTTATTATATATACTCAACGTTCAAATTAAATTATATTTCCAATTTTAAGGTTAGATTTATATGAGTAAAACTGGTATCCGTTTATAAACTAATTTATTAATAAAACTTTTTAAGAAAAAAAAGATAATCAAATAAAATCTATAAATATAAATATAATTTTCATTAAATAAAAAAAGAAAATGAATGGAAATCACATAATAAATGATGGGTATGTATTAGTAATGTTTATTTTATAAAGTTAATTATTTTTTACACTAAATTATAGTTTTATATATTTAATTTTAGTTAATTTTTATACAATATATCTTAAAATTATACTTATAAAATACATAGTTGTAGACTATGTTAAATTGTAATTTATTTTTATCAGATTTTAAAATATTGTCTATTTTTAGCACTTAATTTAGTAATAAGTGTCTCGGTCATAGTTTAATTATATTTACTGTAACAATCAATTTATCAAATCAAATATTTTATGTTAATTTTGGTTTATTTGTTTTTCTTATAAAATCAATTTGATATGCCTTAAGATATAATTCTGTATAATATTATAAAACTTATTATAACTTATAATATAAACATTTTAAACAAATATATCACAAACAACTACTACAGGTATATATATATATATATTATATATAAATAGTTGCAAATAGTTTTTTGAATAATCCAAATGCTTGTGCTATTTATCCTAAAATTAAATGACTTATTATATACTAATTATTACATGTATTATATTAAGTTTATATATTTTGTTGCAATTTTTATATTTGTGTCTCAATTGGTTTCTCAAAGTGTCTGATCACTTATATAAAGAGGAGTTCCTGTTCACAACTGTCCCAAACAGGTCTGAGAGTAAGAGAGAGAGAGAGAGAGAGAGAGAGAGAGAGACTATAAAATTTATATTATGTTTGTTTCATATGTAAAATCATATTCAAACAAATTATCAATTTATTTATTTTGTTATTTTTATTATTATTTTTATTTATTGTTGGCCATACCAAATGAGATCACGTAATAATTATTAGATTATCTATCTTTATATAATATTAATTGCAAAAAAATCTGTAGTTATAGTTCAAAATCAAATGCTTTCACCTGTCATTATATAACGATTTTTGTTTGTTTGTTAGAAATTAGCATTTTTTCATATCCTTAAATCAAATTTGTATTATAAATTTATGTTTATTTTATTATTATTTAGATATCTTAATGGAAAAAGTCTCTTTAGATAATAAATAATCATTAGCCAGCAATTATTTAAGCAGTTTAAAGTCATTTAAACTATTAATTGATATATTACTTATAAATAAATATATATTTATATACAATCATTTTATAATCATAAATAACTATAAATATTTTAGACTATATGTTATTCAGCAAAATTTAGTTAAATAAATGTTATAAATATTAGTAAATTAATTTTAATTATATCAAATTAAAATATTATTTTATTTTTTATTACAAATAATTTTTATTAGTTATTTTAATAGCAAAACATTTAATAATTAAATAATAAATTAAGTTATTGTTTTAAATATAATCGTAAAAATTGTCAACAATATAAATTATATTACTAATGATTTGAAGTCTATTATAATGAAACAATAATCAACATATATTGATTGTATATATTTTCTCGTTGATAATAATAATAATTATTATTATTATTATCTGATATAACTTTTAATTTGATGTAAACTTTTTTTTATTACTTATTTTATTTGCAATCTGTATAACTAAAGTAATGTATGATATAATAAATTTGTTGCAATATACAAACTGCTAACTAATTAGACAATTATAACAGTAGTAATATATAGTATATAGCTTTACATTAAAAAAAAAACAATTAATGTTTATTAACTTCAATCAAAGTAATTGTGTTTTTAAAGTTTGTTTATATGTTTATCGACATCAATATTATTTAATATCAAAGTACTTAGTATATTATAAAACACATTTTTAGAAAAATTAATTGTTGTAAAATTCCACACAAAATTTTACCCAAAATTTATATATATATTTATATATACTTACAAACAGATTAAATACTAAACCAGTTGAGAATGCTAGAAAGCATTTCCAGCCGAACTCCTTATTCTAATTAAATATTAAATTAAATCATGTAAAGTATCAAATGACTCAATTTGACAAAATAAACTTAATTTTAGTCATTTAGGGTATCATATCATTCATTGAAATTATGATGATTAACACAAATTTCAACTTAAAAAAAATTATTTCACTCTTCATATTTCTGTTTGTAAAAATATATATAAATTTATTCTTATCTATTATAACTTATTTTTGATGATTTATTCAATTTTTTTTACTTTGTAAATAAATTTATTGCAAATCATTTAAACTAAAGTCCAGTCAAACTAAAAACCCATTGTGAATGAGGCCTTCCTATTCATAATAATTGATTTAAACGATTAGTTCAATTTTAATTAAATTATTTATAAATATAGTGGTATTTTATTTTATTTCTTAGGGATGGTGAGGGGCTTATGGCCATGCGAACGTAATATGTGAATCGCCCCTATGTCAATGGATATGTCTAATTATTACTATATTTACTTTGATAAGGAATTAAAGTTTATTAGCTTTAAACAAATATTTATTGATTATTAAGAAACTGGGATAAAATATTACCAAAAAAATTCTATATATATATCAGGGTTAAGCAAGGTTTTGGATTTTAGGGGGGATTAGGGTGGGGTGTAGAATTTTATTGCATTTTCAAACGGCAATTTTTTCAAAAAACAAAGGGGGTTTAAGAGAAAATTCCCTAAAATTTCATTAAATTTCCAAATATTTCCATGTAAATTCCATAAAGTTCCAATAAGTTCCCGTATAAATTTCTAGGAAAATAGGTAAATTTTCTCAAAATATAATTAATTATTTAAAAATTAATATAAACAAATTTTAACAAAAAATAATAATGTATTTAAAATTTAAAAATAGTTGATAAAAGCTTTAAATTCATATAATAATTAGATTCATATAAATTTTAATAACATAATAACACTTACTAAAATAGTATGAATTAAAAACTCAAGTATCTCATTTTAGGGGGTCATTTGGCTTAATCCCCTACCCCCCTTGCTTAACCCTGATATATATATATATTTATCAATAAACACTCGTATTTTTATTATGCAATTAAAGATTAGATGACTATATATTTTTCTAAAAAAAACTTAAATCTCATCCAAAAAAGCATAAATAGTCACTCATTTGGACAGTTATTAATAAGTTTTATTAAAAGTTATTTATATTGTATTTAGTAAAATATAATATAATTGAATGTAAAAAAAATTGTGTCTAAAATTGTATGATTTTTATAATGATTTCACTAATTGTTGAAAAAAATTTGTCAGTTAATAGTCATCAATTTAACATTAATAGCATTATTAATGATATTAATGATATTGTGCCCAATAATAATAATAATAATAATAATAATAATAATAATAATAATGTATTAAATTTTGACTCAATTGCTAACAATTTGCTAAACAATCCCAATATTTATGTAGTAAACCATAGCCGAGAAACTGATGGGTGAGTTATTTTTTGAAGAGCAGAAAATATGTTGTTTTTATTATTATTATTTGAATTTATTTCAAAAAAATGGTAATAAATATTTTCACATTTATATATTATAATTTTTTTAATGTCGTTTTATGACCACAAATAAAAATCCGGCAAAAATTCTCATCCAAAATATAAATCATTTTTATTAAAATCTCATTAAAAAAATCACTATAAAAATCTCTAATGAATTACAGGTGAGAACTAAGATATTAAGCGCTTAATACCTTTAAAAAATAAAAGAAAATTTTTATAATTAAATAATAAAAATTATTTATTATATTAAATGTTTGGGAAATAAGATTTAGATAAACTAAAAGAAAACTATTCATTGATATTCATAGCATAATGTGAAATGCATTTTAAAACATTAGAAAACTTGAAATATATATATATTTATCTTTTTTAGAAATACATAAAAAATAGATAGCAATCGTTATTATTTTGATTTAAGGCTTAGTCCCCAAAAATATATATATATCTTATCTGTCGTTTCGACAGATAATAAACGGGATATGAAATCAACAAAAATGTATTTTTTTCTGTATAATAGAGTTAAAAAAGAGAGTGTGAGATAAGTTAATTCATGATTATGTTTGGCGATTGCGATACACATATGAAATATAGTGTATATTAAAAATATATATAAAATGAGAGAGCAGAGAGAGAGAGAGAGAGAGAGAGAGAGAGAGAGAGAGAGATATGGACCTAAAAATATTATACAAACTTTTGCCATCATATAAATGGTAATAATCTCTTAAAAATCTAAGAGAAATGTTATTTTTCTCTGTTGTTAAACGATTATAATCTTAACAGTAATATATTTTAACCAACTTTCCTCTCTCTCTCTCTCTCTCTCTCTCTCTCTCTCTCTCTCTTTCTCTCTCTAAGTTCAACCTATTATATCCTGTATGTGTCCAATGTTAACGGTTTTAGATAAGGAAAAGTAATTTTTATCATTTCATTTGCTTTTATATTTTGTTATGATAAATAGCTATATATAATTTTTTTAACAACTATATTCATTGATATATCGTATCTATAGTAGATATATACTTAATTTTTTTACCATAAAATGTTTGTTTCATTTTTAAAAAATACTATTCAAAAATGTTGAAACAGATTATTATCTTTTAGTATTTTCTTGTTATCTAATACTGTATTAAATCTTTTTTACATATTTATCATAACTAATATCAAACTAACAAATAATAAGTTACTGATATTTTTATAGAAAATTTGTTTAAAAAAAAAATTAACATAATTTTTCAAATATATATAATATATTTTTTAAAAAATTAATTTTATAAAATATCTAAACTTGATAGAAAAAACCTTATTTATTATTGTGATATTTAGTCACAAATATTATTATTTTTATAGATAGAAATTTTTTTAACCATATTATCATCATAAGATAATGAAATAAAATATAAATTGTTTGTTTGTTAGCAATAATAACATTTTACAAACAATATATTAATATATATAATAATAATAAAATACTTTGTCAGATAAGTTTTATCGCAATCAGATTTTTTCAAACTATATTTAATATTTTTATTATATTATCTACAATAATACTGTAGTAATAAAAATAAAAAGTTTTTATGTACTAATATGTATTATACTAGTGTTTAAATCGATTAACAAAATCAAAAATTGAAGACAAATGAGAACAACATTTCTAAGAAATGTAAATATTATTATATCTTATTTTTTCGAGAAAATAATAATATAAAAAAATCTCAATCAATGTTTACCGTAAAATGTAATTTATATGATAAGCAGTATTTATATAATAACAACAAAAATTGTTGATAATATATAAATATATATATATATATATATAATAAAGGTTACATAACTTGCAACACTTTTTTAGAGATTGTTTTTATCGTTAAATATAATATATATATATTATTTGAAACTTTTTTTTAAATTTTATTTATTAACTCAAACCCAATTAATTTGCATCCAATCACTTAATAATTCAACTAAAACTTTATAATTAGTTAGTATACTGTAGTAGTAGTAGTAATATTATTCATGTGATGTTTGTAATCAATGGAAAATCTTAATATTGAATTTTTTTAAATTTTAATAAAATTTATATTTCCAATCGCTAATATTTGAAAATAAATATAAAAATTAATGATTAAATTAATAAAAATTTTCAAAAAATAACAAACAAAAAACAATTAAACGATTAAATAATTTCTTATTAACCAAAAGAAGTCATTCAAAAATCTAGTTTTTTAACGATTATGTGTTGTTGTTGTTAATGGAGAAGTGGTTATAATCTTTTAGTGACACTGTTTTGTTGTTTTTTAAATTTAATTTTTTAGTTTATATAATTGCTTATCAATTTTATTATAACTAATTTGAATATACAGTACATTTTATTAGTCACACAAAAATATGGGATTCAAATAACAAAAATAACCAAAAAAAAGTCAAATAAAGAAAAATGCTTATCAATTAATATTATTAAAATTACTTTAAACAAATTTCATGGACATATGATATTTTAAATGTATTGCGCAAAATGTATATTTTATCAATTTATAATATCTTATATTTTTAAGTTAATTACCTAAAGTTATTTACAAATAATTTTGCAAATATTTTTTTTTTGATTATAAAATAAATTTATATATTTATATAAAATTTATATATTATATGATAATGCTAAATGCTAAATTAATGCTTAAATAATAAAAATGTAAAATTAGAAAAATATATAATATATAGAAATTAATAAATTTCAACATTATTATAAAACAATCCATTGATTTTATATTTTAATATATTTATGTTATTTTTTAAAAAGCAATATTTATCAGATATATTACTAATCAAAAATAAGAATATTCCGTAAATTGATTAATTAATATACAGTAAATAAATTTATTTTAAAAGAGTTTATTTATTTTTCCTTTAATATTAGACATTAAAACATAAAAAACAAAAAAAAAATGTTTTTGTAAGCAGTAAATGAATGTTCAATTAGAAAACAAAACAAACTCATCAATAAATATATGACTAATAAATAAATCAATTATTTTTTATGTTTAAATGATCTGTCATTTTAGATATGAATACGAAGAGATCGACAAAATAAGCAAATATTTGTTTCAAAGGACTAAACACAGGCCTACTATTGGCATAATATGCGGATCAGGATTGGGTGGTTTAGCTGATCTATTGACCGATAAGGATGTCTTCAAGTACGAGACGATACCTAACTTTCCTGTTAGCACAGGTAGGCTAAAAAAATAATGGGAGCGTTTAATTTTTGTAACACCATAACATCCAAAAATATGACCATTAAAAATAAGTAGCGATAAAAAAAATTATCAATAAAATCCAATCTCCCATTTAGTGTCTGGTCATAGCGGGTGTCTAGTGTTTGGCTACCTTAGAGGTGTCTGTCTAATAGCTATGAAAGGCCGGTTTCATCCATACGAGGGCTACCCTATGGCTAAATGTGCAATGCCTGTCCGGGTCTGTTTTAATTTATATATGCATATAATAATTATTAAATAAACATTAAGTAAACATACTAAATAATTACATAATATTAAATAATAATTTATGATAGCATAACATTTAGCAAAAAAACAAAAATTTGCACAAAAAAAATAATTATACATACATAATATTTAGCAATTACATATTAAAAAAAATTAAACTAAATGTTTTAACAATATATTGTGATTATTGAATGTGTAATGTTTGACACACAAAAATAGTTGATGAAATTGATGGGAGTAAAGACATTGATAGTGACAAACGCGGCGGGAGGTCTCAACAAGGGCTACAATGTGGGCGACATTATGATCATCAAAGATCAGATCAATTTGCCGGCGTTTGCCGGTAATAGTCCGTTGAGGGGCGTGAATGATGACCGCTGGGGCGTCCGATTTCCCGCTATGAACGACGCTTACAATAAGGATCTAATGAAAATTGCCAAACATTGCGCTCAGGAGCTGAAAATCGATCGATTTATGCGCGAAGGTGTCTACGTTATGACTGGCGGTCCGTCCTATGAATCGGTAGCCGAAGTCAAGTTTCTCAGCAACTATGGCGACGCCGTCGGTGCGTAAAAATTGTCATCAAATGTCTCAAAAAATGAGACAAATTGTCTGTTGTATCTTAATGATTGTTTATATATATATTTATTTGTTTCAATGACTATAGGTATGAGCACTTGCCATGAGGTAACAGTCGCTCATCACTGCGGTCTAAAAGTAGTCGGATTTTCTCTGATAACCAACAAATGTGTCAGCGATTACAATACCAAAGAGGTGGCCAATCACGAGGAGGTCATACAGGCGGCCAATGAAAGAGCCAAAGACTTTGAGCGACTTATTGAAAGTTTGGTCGAAAAGTGCAACAAATATGAAGAGTTTTTGAATAAACGAAAATCAATTAACGTTACTAATGGTCACTAAATTTTGATTACAATTGTATTGTTTAAACAAAATATAAAAAGTCTATAATAATGAAATAAAGATATATTTTGATTTATATTTAGTAATGTGTTGTTAAATAATTTGAAATAAATGCTAATAAACTAAATTTATATTTTACTGGTAGTTCAATAAAATAGATTTTTTTTAAATTGTTTAAAATTAACTAAATTTTCTATTTTATTCAAATTTTCTATTTTCTAATGTAATTAAAATAATATTTCTATTTATTGTTTAATCACTTGATTTCTATCCAATACTCTCATAAAATCTGTAGATTATTTAGATTATTATTTTTATAAAAAAAATTCAATGACATTATAGACAACGGGTAGACCATGGATGACATGAATCCAATAGAAATAAAAATACCATAAATTGCTTAATTCTGTGATAAAAACAATGGCAACTTTTTTTCTTCAATTAAATGGACAACAAATAGATAATATTAGAAGTAATTATTGAAATAAGTCTTACATTAAAATCAAAAGATTTATAAACTTTAAAAAATAAACAAATTATATGTTAATTGTCTGACAATTATTAATATAAATTTAAATTAGATTTTTTTAACAAACAAACCAAACGATTGATTGTTTTTTATTAGTGATAAAAACCTTTTTTTTTATTTGTCTTCACTAAAACCCGAAGTCCGGTCACTCAATAATCGGGATTAATGTGTGTCTGATGTCGTCGCCTGTCGTCACACATAAGCGGCAGCACTGATGGCAGTGACTGTCTGTTTGATTACACGTGCAGTCAAACAGTTGTTTTTTGTTTATTATTAAACAGTAGTTTCACATCATTTTCTCTACACTTGACTGTTGTCTCCCAATGGTTGCACCGAAACTGGTGACCAAATTGGTCACATCGGTAGACAGTTCGCCGTTTATACTCATTGGCCATCGGCTGACATGTGATGTCCGGCCACTGGTTGTGTCGCTGATCCACAATCGGCTCAAACAAGTGAACGTCGCTTTGGTTTGCATTGAAAACTCGTCTCAGGTCTTGACGTCCGATCATTTCTTAAGACATACCAGTGATGGTCCGAAACGGGAGTTCAAAGTCATCGATTTGTACGCCAAATATCACACAATCGATAGTGACGTTTGTCAACACTTACTTCAAGCGATGGAACAGCTGAGTGATGATTATGTTGTGGTCATCGATTCGTTGACACCGATCATCCTAATGGATCAGCTCTACCAAACCAATTGTCTTTTGTATCGATTGTTTAATAGATTTAAACAATTGATTTGTATTCTTCACGAAGACTGTCATTCACAACATATTACTGAATCTATTGAACAGTTATCACATTCAGTCATCCATTTGTCCGCAACTGAAGACAAAACATTTAAAGCTATTATAAGACACCGAAAGCCTCACCGAAAGACACACTTTTGTGTCCAACAGTCGATGGAATTCTTCACAATCATAGACTATAATATCATTTACAGTAAAGACAATAATAATGAGTCCAAATATATGCCACCGATGATGACGACCAGTCAGACAGCAACTGATCCAACACTTAATATACCATTTAATTTGACGCTCAAAGACAGTGAATTGGAGGCCAAAAACAATCTATTATTGCCTTATATTAAGTAAACTTTTTAAAAATTATTTTCTTATATTAACTAACATTTTATACAATCATTTATTATAACAAAATCTATCCAATGTTTGGTTCACTATTTTTTAGGACACATGAAGACACAAAAGTGTTTTATGAATACGACAAGAATGATGACATCGATGAGGAAGATCCCGATGAAGACTTAGACATTTAGATGGTGTAAAATACTTGGAAGTCATTCAATTGGTCGATCATGTCTTCAATCCGTGAGCTCTCTGTATATCATCCGTCAGACTTGCCTTTTGTCTCTGAATTTCTTCATATTTCTGAAGCGTTAGCTCAAGAATCGGTCTTTCAATTGATTCTTCGGTTATATATTTCTTAAAGATTTAATAATTGTTATTTAGAAAAAAAATGAATTGTTTTTTTATACATTGATTAATAAAAAATTATGTGAAATATTTTACAATACCTTAATCAGTGATATATCTTCAACTCTATTGATACTGTTTTCATCCGAAAGATGTGAATCTCCCGAATGAATAGCATAATAAAGTTGACACAAATCAGTCGCATCGCCGATGGTCTCACTCAGTATGAATTGATTTAATAGTTCATCGATTTTCTTGAAATAAACTAAATAATAGCAAAACGGACCGAAATGTCTGGTAGACTGTAAACCCAATACATCGTTGTTGGCCACCATATGGTCATACGTTTTATAACAGATTTCTATGTATTCCGGATCGTTGGGTTCAAACTGAAGACAGGCCCGATTGAGGACAAACTCATACTCTCGTCGATCCAATACATTCTGCAATAATGGTCATACAATTAGTGTCACAATTAATATGTGATTAAAACAAAGATATTAATTTAATTTATTTTTTTGGCCCGAAATTAAGTTTTAATTACCGTTAAGTGCGGTTCGGAAAACATATTCGGTTTTTCCATAAGTCGTTCTTCTTTTGGAAAAAACATTTGATTCATTCGATACCTTTCCTCGCGATTTGCTTCACGTAATATACCGTTAGTTTCGCGGACAACAATAAGTCTAGTCTGAAGCAAATAATACAATTGATTAATCAATTAGTTAAATCAAGTCTTTTTTTGTTGTTGTTGTTGTCGTCATCGCAAACCTGATCACTGGATCCGGGACTCGAGTCAACAAAAATATATTTGCTGTCTATATAACCCTGAAGTTCATAATCGGTGGCTAATATACGGGGATTGTCCTCTTTGGGCGCCAACACCGGTGGCATTGCCAGCTGTTCTCCGGCTTTCATTCGGGCTATTTCTAGCGTCTGATCCAATGTTTATTACAATTAATTATCAAAGATATTAGTTGGACACAAGTTATACATAATGATTATCTTAACCGTAATATTGATTACCATTTTAAGTTCATTATCAGTCATGAATCGGACTTCATTGGACTTATGTATTAATTCAGGTCTCGTCTCAAACACTTTGTTGTCGTCAAAACCGATCAGTCGTTTCAAAATTGTCTGAACCGACGGTAATATAAAAGTGCTCTCCATTTGTGTCATCAATTGTTTGTCTTTGAGGACATTGACATAACTGTGACTAAAACGGCGATTCAATACAATTGAATGGCGTGTATTGTGACCCAAGACATGATTGACGGTAACCGATGATAATGTGGTAAATGGTTTGTGTGATCGACACAAATGTCGGTAAATTAGACACAAATTGCTGATTGAAGACATGCTTATCATGTGTTATGTATTAATAATAATCATTGAAATCAATGTTTGTTTGTATTATTTCAATACAAAACTTTATATTGTTTTTTGTATACATTTTGTGTGCCATCTCTTGTCATACCATTCATCCAATTCTTGAATTCTGGTTTTCTTTCTAAACAAAAAGTCTTCAGTTAAAGAGTCATAACTTAAGACCTCATAACTGATCGCAAAAAAAATCTAAAATTAAAACACAAAATACATACAAAAATAATAATAAAATCAAATTAACGGTAATTTAATTACATTAGAAAATAGAAAATTTAGTTAATTTTAAACAATTTTTTTATTTGAATTGATTTGTATTGAAAATAATAATATTTGAAAACAATTTTTGTTTAATAAATGACTTAAATTGAGAAACAAATTGATTGAATGAATGAATGATTGAATGATGACTACAACCGAAATGTGTTTGAAATGTTGGAAGTGTTTGTTCGGTCGACCAAATTGTAGGAAAATTTGCTTAATTTGGTAGTTCTTCTGCTAATTCTTTGGCCCTCTTGTGCGCCGCTTCTACAGCACCGGCCACTCCTGAGGCGACATCTGCTTTGTCGAGCACATGGATGCCATAAATGGCGGGTCCAGATGGCGAAGTGCAGCTATCCTTTAGCTCTGACGGATGTTTACCCGACTCTAGTAGCGTCAGTGCCGCGCACTGTACGGTTTTGGCGGCAAATTTTGTAGCCGTTTGACGATTGAGACCCATCTTGAAGGCGCCGTCGGCCAGAGAATTGATAAAATAGTAGACAAACGCCAATCCGTTGCCTCCCAGAGCACAGGCCGAGTCCATCTGGCTTTCGGGTATGTACTCGAGCTTCGATATGGTTGACAGCATATCCCTTATTAGTGGACTACACTTTTTGCTGTCCGGTTCCACATCGATGGCAGTAATGCCCAAACCATAAGCACAAGCAGTACTGATGCTTAATCTGTGCATTTCGATCATATACTTGTCCGGGTGTTCGGGATTCAATAGACACGCCCGGATCTGATCCAACTTTACACCGCTGACCAGCGATAGCACATACAATGGATGTTTCATATTTGGTATGAAATTTGTGGTCAACGGATGCGGACGCGAACCACCAATTTTGTAGCACTCTTTGATAACTGAGCCGTGAAAACACAGGAATACTATATCGCAGTCATATTTGGCGAATATATCGTAATTCCGTTTCGTAATGTGACAGCCCTTCTGTTTGATGGTCTCCAAGTTTTTTGTAGTCTTTGCCGACACATGTATGCGCTTTGGATCTACTTTTCCGTATTGAATTAGACCGCGAATGATGGCATCAGCTGTCTTACCGGCGCCGAGGAAACCGATCTTTGCTTCCGACAGATCTACCTTTCCTTTGCGTTTAGTGCTTGACTTTGAGCCCGACTTTGATTCCTTTGATTCCTTCTTATCCTTCTTTTCCTCCTTTTTCTCGTCTTTCGAATCAGTCTTTGTCTCTTCGGTCGGCTTTTCGTCGGCTTTTTTCTCTTCCGGTGCCTCAGCTTTCGGTTTCTCTTCGGTTGGTTTCTCTTGATCTGCCATTTCTTGTGATTTAGTTTTACAAGTAATTCAATTCAATCAGAATTTAGAAGAATTTTATCGATTTTTGTGACAAAAAACTGTTGATTTATAACGACTGATCTGTTCAACGAATTGATTGAATTATTTTGAATTTTCAAAAATTAAATAATTTTCAAACATTTAATTGTTGTCTTCACGAGAGTTAAATAATCATTATTGTTAACAATTCACGAGACAATTATATATTGAATTCAATGAACTGTTTTGTCTCAATCAAGTAATACACAATACAATAGAAATAAAAATACTAAAATATTAATAGTAAAACTTATTTAGGTTAGGAAATCAATTTAATTTACTAAAAGTAAAATATAAATCTAGTTTTTGAACACTTATTTCAAATTATTTTTTGTGTTTATCTTAATAAATGCAATACAATAAAAATTTTATTATTCTTTACTAAACTAATGTTTTCAAAATCAAAACTTTGATAATTATATGATAATAATTATTAAATTGTTATATTGTACAGTACAGTAGTGTTTCTATTGAATATTTAGAAAATCTGTTTATCAAACTAATTATCATATATAATATAATGTAATTGATTTATAATTTGTTTGAAAAAGTTTATCAATAAACAGATCAAATAAACTATTACCGTATACCGCGATCTTATCGGACCTGTCCTAAATTCGATTTTGGAAAATTACCGTGTATCTATGGTCCTATATGATGACAAAATAGGACCCCCTGTCCAATGTATGACAAAATAGGACCTCCCGGTCCTATTTTGTTAACAATTCATATAATCATTAAATAAATAATAATTACCGGGACTCAAATTATAGATGTCAACACAAATAAGATATAATATAACCGATACATCAATAGTGGTCCTAAATTTAGTAACTATAAAAAACAACCGGTTACCATGGTCCTATTTCGTGACATTTAAGGACACGTTTTACTTTATAGGACCTGGTCCGATAAGATCGCGGTATACGGTAATTGGTTTTTTTGCAATTGATTTCTGTCTCGTAGTCATTGTAACCAACATCGAGACAGAGCTGTAGACAACTTGAATATTACAGTACAGTATAAACATTGAGATCCAATGATATGGCCCGACGGTGAGCGGGCGGACAAACAACTCATAAGATTAAACAAATTGATTACAGAATACGACAGCTTTACAGATGATTATATCGAAGAACTGGATTGAAATATCATTTATTTTCAATGTCCTAATACTAAACTTAGATAAACTATTTTATCATAAAATGTATTTTAATTGCCGGCAAATCTTATCTATATATACACACAATTAATTATATAATACAACATTTAAAGTAATAGATAAAATAATTTTTATTTTATTTTGTTGTGATAACTATCAAAATAAGAGTTGAGTTTAAAATATAAAAATAAAAGTATAGTTTAACAAATAAAATCATTTCATATCAATTGATAATAATTTTGTCTAATAGGTACCGTAATTATTTAAACATTACATTTATATTTTAATGTTAAAATAAATAAGTTTATTTTATTTTTTATTATTTTCTACTAGGATTAAAATATTTCATATTAAAAAATTACTTTTATTATTACAGTAAATAGTTTTAATATTAAATTTTATAAAACTAATTAATAAATAGAATAATTTCTTTTTTAATTAAAGTATATACAGTTAAATGTATTTAATAATATAATAACAAAAATTTTGTTTATAATATTTAAATAAAACTATAGTATAAATATATTTCAAAAATTAAAAAAAATAATAATAAAATAAAAAGTCAATTGGTTTGTAATGTATGGGAAAACTACTTCTTGGAAGCGATGGTCGACTTCGAGGCTTTGTTTGTTTGCCCAATGTTTGATGGTTTAGCCGACTGTGGATTCGGTGCTTTCTGTGCTTCCGATGACTTCTTTCCGCCGCCTAAGAGGACAATGGCTAGTATTGCGACAACAATTACAACTATAATAATAACGACGATAACAATCCATATCCAGGCTGTACTACTCTTCTCGTCCTTTTTCTTGTTGTCCTCACTATTGTCACCATTAGTGTTGTTAACTGGACCGACGTCTGGCGCTTCGCCACTTCCATGGGTGACGGCATTGGAGGCATCTTCATGTTTATCTGACGGCACATTTGTTGGTGTCAAACATTCGCCCGGATTTGAAATTTTAAGCAAATCTTTGATAATATTTTTGCTCGTTTTGTCTTTAGTTGCCGTTATTTTGCCATCCGATGAATCGACAGTTATTGTCAAATGCCAGTAGTCTTTCTTACCCAACACATGGATATCAGTGTTAGAAGTGGTAAATATGGCGTTTATCGTCTCATTGATGCCAAAATCGGTTATAGACTTCTTATTTTTTCGTTCGCCAAACTTCTGATCACCGTTTGGTTCTGGAGTACAGGTTCCTCTGCAGTCAACCATTGCGTATATATTACTTTTTACGCCAAATATATAGATATAATTTATGGCAAACATAGCGTCCAGCGGCACATTTTTTTCCCACTCGAGATCAAACTGACCGGTACACATGTCGTCATCGAAATTGGAGATCTCATTCTTCCATCTGTTGACTAAGACATCATATCTGGCAAACCTATGTTTACCGCCGTTGAACTCATAGATCCAGATTTCTTTATTACCGGCAGTAAACATGGCTCCGGTCATTGGTTTGGGACAGCCTTGTTGTGTGTCCACATAGACAGCCGCCTGTCCTATCTTGAACGGAGGCGGCAACTGTTTGGCGTCCGAGTCTTTTGGCGGAAAGTCTTTGGATTTGATATACCAATAATAACCGCCACTCGTGAAAAAGTATGTGTCGTAATCGCTGACATAAGTAATGGCATCGATGGTCGAGTCCTTACAGATGAGTGAACCGGACGACACTGTGACCATCGAGCAGACAATCATCACCACTGAGAAACTGAATACCGGAACACTAACCGATGTCATGGATAGACACTGACTCTGATTTAATGTGGTCTTTCAGTTATAATACAAACACACAGACACAGAGATAATGTAAAGCAGATTATGATATAACCACAAAAAAAATTAGTCACAAGAAGTTAAAGTCAAAAACAAACAAAAACCGTAAAATTAAGATATTATTAGTTATTAACTGAAATTCTCTTTGAATTTTATGACCAACTGATTGATTGATTAATTGACTGTTAATGTGATGTCAAGTCTCGTGATTTTGTTTTGTTTGATTAACTATTATTGCAATGAATAAGCATTTTATAAATTATTTTTCTAAATACTATTCTACAGTATTTGATATGATATTCTGTAATTGATTAAAGAATTTGATGGCAAAAATCGCGAGACTTTTATTACAGTTTTTTGTTTGTTTGAAATACTTGACAAATATTTTTGAATTTGATTTTTTGTCCGTTGATTCTGTTATTCTGTTTGATTGGTTTTTTTTGGTCACCAATTCATAGCAGCAATTGTTCTTTGAATTAGGATTTTAAGATATGGATAGTTGTTGTCAAAGCATTCAAGAGTTTCTGCCGCGCGAAGAGTTACGTAAAGAAGCTCTCAATACGGAAACCTTTAGCGAAGCGGGCGATGAAGTTCGCGATGAATGTCCAGACGTTAGTCAGGAAGAGTTGCGCAAAGATATCTGCGAACAGGACATTGAAAATAACATCAGAAGTGATGCATATTTGCGAACACAAGACTCTGAAGCCGAGATCGATGAGAATGAAGAGGAGAGCAAAGTAGTGGACAATTCGTCAAACGTTTCACAATTAAATCAAGAGTCGGTCAGAAGTCTTAATGCGATTGAAACGGATCTCAAAGAGGCAATCGTTATCTCTTCGAGTTCTACGGGCGACTCATTAGCTAAGACTGACGGCAAGACTAAAGGCAACCAAAATGACGAAAGGAAGAGCAAACCATATGTTTTGTCGTCCAAATGGGGCGAAACCGTTAACATTAGCGATTCCAACGGTCAGCCCAAACGTATTGTCAATCTGTCGGAAATAAAAAATTACATTCCGTTGAGAATCAGATATAACTCGCGGTTTAAGTTCTACTTTGCTTTAGTGGATCCAAGATATCCGCAAATGTATCGCAACTATGCTTCGGGAGGCCAGAGATGGCGTATGCGTTACAACATCTTTGTCGACGGACTGTTTGAACCGATGAAAAAATTGGATTCAATTGTCCACATGGGAGAGGCTATGGTCTACTTCGACATTGGCAAAGACATGTCATTTCCATATTTTATTAACTCTTCGTTTTACGCCAATTACATGCCATTAGAGACAACAGTTGACACATCAAGACTGACGCGAATTATCGTTTACTTACATCTGATTCTTGACTCAAGTCTTATACTTCAGCTGAAGTTCCCGATGTCGGAGACATGTTTCAAGAATACTGACAAACTTTTCTATAAGTTTTTGATGCGTCAGCGGGAACTCATGGATGAGCTAAAATTTCTCAATCACCGAATGAAACAGTGGTCACAAGTGAGCAAAAGATTTCCAATTGATTCCAAACGCCTGGCTCTCGATACTCGTGAGTATGACCACCACTACAGACCAATCGATCGGCGTCGCAGAGAACCGATTGCCAAAAATAAGGACGAAGAGAAAGTTAAACGAAATGACTATAGAGTCGATCGGCGAACAAACACCCGAACATATCGTAGATCTGCCGACACTAAGCAGCCGTTACGCGAAATGACTTTTAATTCAATGGAGTCAAAGACTGTCGAAAGAAATGCCATCAAAAAGTCGTTTAAAAAGAAGAACCGAAGCGTTGAACGAAAAGACACAAACTATTGTCGCATTAGATCTGAGGACAACTTCGGCAATCAAAGAGTTGTCCGCAACAATACTGAACGCAAGTCACGGATGCAAACAAAACGCCGCTAAATATATATAAATCTCACAATCATTTTGTGATTGCATTTCATTAATTATAAGTCATATTTCAATACTATTTAATCTTATAAATGCTTTTTTTGAACTAAATTTTTTCATGTTTTTTAATGACATTTAGTTATGTTATGATTTATTTTTCAGCTTTTAATTTTTTAAACTATTAATATAACAATTTTATTTATTAATGTTTACTTTGCTATTTAATTAATGTCTTTTTTAAGTTTGTATTTAAGTTTGATTTTGTATTTAATAAAATATTTATTTCAATTTTATTAGTAAACACTTAATAATTTATAAAAAAAAACTTAATAAATTTATTAAAGTGTACTAATTTTATTTAAATAAGTTTTATGCATCAATTATAATAATAATAAAAAAAATGTTTATATATTTATATATTAAATGAGAAATCTTTTTTAAAACATAAAATAATTGATAATTGCTTTTGATGTGTATATAATTCATACTAATATAATCATGAAATACACTCAGTTTTGTCTTTCATTTAAACAAAATGAATCAATTTTTCTTATGTAATTAAAATGATTTCTTAATATATATTTATTTTTTTTATTAGTCAACTGATTTCTGTCCCGCAATCATATTATCCAAACATTGACTTCAATATTACAGTACAGTATAAACAATAAGATCCAATGGTATGGCCGGACGGTAAGCGGTTGGACAAACAACTCATAAGATTAAACAAATTGATTACAAAATACGACAGCTTTACAGATGACTATATCGAAGAACTGGATCGAGATATCAGTGCATTCAATGTCCGGATACTAAACTCAGAAAAACATAATTTGCCGATAAATCTATAAATATATTTTGAAAAACAATTACCGTTATTGAAAATAATTGCCAAACTATCTATTTCTATGATTTAACTGTACAACAAATGTTATAATTGTAACACATTATTATTATTATTTTATTATTATTCATTACAAAATCTCATCTAATCTGTAGTTTTTTTTCAATTCAAGTCAATAATAATTTAATTAATAAAATAATTTAAACAAACATTTCTTTTTGTATTTTTGTGATGACTATTAAAATAAGAGGTGAGTTTAAAACATAAAAGTATAGTTTTATAGATATATTCTCTATAATGGCATATCATATTAATTAATAAAAAATTATTATACAGTAATTATTTAAACACAATTATTTTTTTGTATCAAATGTATTTTAAAACTATATTAGCACAAAAATCATATATTTTAAAATTATATTATGAGAAATAGTTATCTTTTTATACATCAAAACTAAAAACATATTATGAAATAGGATTACATTTTTTATCAATTAAATCGTTTTATGTATTTTCGAGAAATATCTTACAAAATGTCAATAAACTTGTAATTCATTTACTCTTTACATTTTTTTCAATTTAAAATAGAGTCAAATGAAGTCAATTAAAGACAATGTTGTCAAATAAGAGATAATTTTTATATATATATATATTAGTGTTACAGTAAATTTGAAATGATTTTTTATATAATTGTGCGGTTAATGTAAAATGTGTTATAACTCAATATATATATATATATTAAAAAAACAAACAAAAAACAGTGTAATATAAATTAAATCACTAAAAATTATTTTATCAAATTATGAGAAAATCAATGTTAAATGTATTTGAACCTAGAGTTTGAAATTAACTTCATTTGTGTTAACAAAATTATAAATGAATGTGTGTTTAATGAAAAAAATGATATAATAGACGAACTGAATATATATATATATAAGATAAAAATTTTCAATGTTTTGTTTTTGCAATTTAACAAAAAATGTTTGTCATTTAAATAATTATTATTGAATTTTGTTTTACTTATATAATTAAAATGTAAAAAATGATGAAATTATATCAATCGAAGAGTTGCACAATTTGTTTATCTAATAATTGAAAATAATAAAAATTAATTATCAAAAAACAAAACAAAATTATCACTTAAAAGCTGATCCAATACTTACATTATTCTGATGTCGGACTCGATTGTGTTGTTTCTTTTAAAACCGGATTGGCTTTTGAGGTATCATCTGATTTAGAATTTGCTTTATTCTTGACATCATTTGTTTGTTCGTTCGGTACGACCTTTGGTTCATCGGTTGTGGTCACCTCTGGCTCAGTACTATTGTTGGCCTGCGGTTGGCTGGCAGTCGAATCGTTGGTTGTTTTTGATTCCGAAGTATTATTAACTTCGACCTTCTCTTGACTCGATGTCACATCATTGCCATCGACTTTAGTTTCAGAGTTGTTGGCTTCGACTTCAGATTTTTCGTCGATAGAATTATTACTCGACACTGAATTTTTCGGCGGCCGACCCCTTCGTTTAGGTGTTCCTGAACCTGAATCCTATAAATAAAAACCAAATACTGTAAGCTTTACGAATTCAACAACTCTTAACGTTATTACCTTAGATGGCGACTTAGGAGCGGCTCTTTTGGGAGGTGTTGGTGCTGCTGCGGGAGGTGTACCGCGTGTCTGAGATCGAGTCGTCCTACGATTGCCGTCGGGATTTTCATCGCCACCTTTATGGCCTAAGTTTTGCAACAAAGCTTCGCCTTCTTTGGCCGTCTTCTCCCAAATGTTCAGTCTTTTCGCCGATCCCTTTGCTGGACGACCTCTTCCACCGCTTGCTGGCGTCACTGACGGCTTTGAATCCTCCTTAAGAAGTCAACAAAAAAACCAAATATTAATTTTAAAGATATTAAAAACAAAAGCAATTATTTATATATCACTTACATTGATATCATTAGATAGTTTCAACTTCTTGTTTGGCGACACACTTTCATCTGCAACATCTTCAGTACCATTGTCTTTGATAACTGAATTTTGATTTACTTCAGCCTTTAGTTTCAAGAAATATAATTAAGAAAAAAGACAAACAATTAGTTAAAGACGTCTTTAAATAAGTTGTCGACACAAACAATCTGATCGTCATTTATGTTGAGAGCACTTGTATTATATAATAGGGGTTTTTAAGCGCTTTAAGAAGTCAAATGTGATTAGCGATTGGCTGATAGCTATCAACCAATAGTATAGACATGTGTTGTCAATGCATTCAATGTTATCGGCGTTTGTGAGCCAACAGTGCTCTCTCTCTCTCTCTATTTGACTGACTGTGTGTTTGCTATAACTTTTAGCACTGCTTTTTGAGCGCCGATTTAGACGCCATTTAACTTACAATAAAAAAATACAACACTTTTATATACACATACAGTATATAGCAATGCATTCACAAAACACATACACATTGTATGGCATATCTATCATACATACACTTTATATTGTAAACACTTAATTCAAAATCAATTTTATCGTTTTGAAACACAATGGCATGCATTGACATTAGACTAGACACTAATGGCATTACTAAAACAAAACACGACTGTCCACTAAACAAATCTAACATAAATAGACTAAATTAATGGCACAAATGTGCGGCAAATCCGTTTGGCGCGCGTATTGTCGCACACCGGCCAACACACAAACCGGCAGTAATTGACATTTTAGCCGATAGTCGGACACCGATTGACAACACTTACCGTTTGTTCGGCGGTTTTGTCGTCTGCTGGTTGGGCGCTGTTTTGGGTGACCGTCGCTGTGTCGGACATTGTCACTGTGAGACCAATTGCTGACTTGAATCGCTGGTAAACTAAACCGATTAGTGCGCCAATGGCTGTGACGGCAACTATTAATTGCTTTTTTATGACCAACACTTGACTTGACAACCGACGGGTGATTTTAGTGGACACTCGAAAACAGTGTTGTTGTTGTTGTTGTTATTATTGTTGTCGACAAACAATTATTATTAATAATAATCACAAAAACACAACACAATTGCCACTAATAAAGACAGTCAACACTTAGTATAATATTTTGTAAGTCAATACAATTCAATGGCTTTCCATTCAATAATACCATTCAATACGCAAGTATTGTGTTCTCACTATTGGCTATAGCCTTGTGTTGTGTCTACTAATACACTGCTGTCTAATGTATATGTGTTTGTGTGTGTATTCATCGATACCATCGATACTATCGATAGTCAGCTATGGGTTTACATTTAGATAACTGACAAACGGATTCAATCAACCATACAGTCAACACCACATATAATATACAATAATATTAAAGTTTGTTATTACTATAAATATATATTTTTTAAAACTTTATTAATTACTATAATAACTTATTTAATAATTTAGTAAAATTAATACAATTTTGTTTTATGATTGATTTATAAATATGTAATAATTTAATAATTATGTTAATTTATTATTTAATTTACAATTATTGATTTTTTAATAGTTAAATATATTAAATAAGTTAAATTTTATTAGTAATTAATAAGTAATTAATAAGTTAGACTTTGTGTATAACAAACAGTGATTTATTTATTTGAAAACTTTTTATTTGTTGAAACACTAATATAAATACTGTTATTATTATCGCTAAATTAGTACTTGAATTATCTTAAATCCAATAAAAAAAAGTTTGTAATTAACTTTTTTTTCTGTAAAATTATAATTCATAATCAATCAGTTGTCTCCATAAATATATGAAATAACTTTTTTGTTTAAATTATAATTATCTTTAATAAGATTCTTTATATAGCATTCAAACATTTGTTACAACAAAAAAATTGAACGCAAAGATATATTACTTAATAAGATATGATATAATGTGTGTATTTTAATATAAATATGTAAAACTATATTATTATTGGTTATTATAATTATGTTTATGATAATTAACTTTTTTTTATAGACAAGAAAAATAAGTTTTATAAACTATTAACAGTAGCGAAACATTTGAATAATGTTTTCCAACCAATTTATACGTTTTTACGATAAATGACATAACGTTTAAAAATAATATTTAATATCTATTTTAGTAATTTTCTGCTACTAGTTATGAAATATAAAACTTTTTATTTCTAAACTCCTAGACATTAAAAAATAAATTATATCAATATTATTAAATATGTACATTAATTAAAAAAATATATATTAATGATATGCAAACTTGATGTCAAAGTATACCATATTTACAAATATCTAAGTTTTGTTATTCTTTTAATATAATTTACATATCTGTAAATTATGTGGTTATTTGATATATTTTAAATAAAAATAATTATTAAATAACAATTATTTTTTATGTAAAATAAATATTTATTAAAAGATGTTTATAAAACAATAATAAAATGCAAATTAATTGTTTAATGATTCAAATAAAATAGTTGCAAGTTTTCTATAAATACATGTAATTATATTACAATTATATATTTCTGTAAATTTATATACAATGTATATTATACATACAGTACTATATACAGTATTGTATAAAAGTATTGAATTAGGAAATTATAAAATAAATTATTGTTTAATTTATATTAAAATATTATTATAATAGTAATTTAATTTTTTAAAATTCATTAATATAAACTTTGTTGAAATTATAATTATTATAACACGATTTTGAAAAAAATATCTTAAATGTTAACTACAGTATATTAGTTTAATAACAGTTTTAAAAATGTTTTATCTCTATAAAATACTTACCATATGATAAAAATTGATAGTTATCAAAATTAACCAAAATATTGGCATTGAATTTGTATGTTGTGTTTACACATAATGTTTTATTTACCTTTTATTATTAAAAAAGTTTAATGAACTTTTACTATATTAGTTTAATATACATATTTAAATATATAAATTATAATCATTGAAAATGTAATATAAATAATAAATAATTATTATTATTGCGTAAAACTACAATAATTTCATTAATTTTTATACAATAATTTATATATTAATTACATATGAATTTTGTTACTAACAATATTATAAACATTTACTAAACAAAAGGTAAAAAGTAACATAAATATTAATAAAATATTTTTTATTAAATTAATAATTTATATTCAAATAATCCTATCGTTTTGTTTTAATGAAAAAAATATTGTAGTCAATAAAAAACAATTTTATTTAAATTAATTAATTAATTTTTTAAATAAGTTAATAAATTTAATATTAATAAATTTCCGGCAATTTTATTAGATATTTACAATAATATCCATACAGAATAACAAGTTTTTAGTTTTAATCTTTATATAAATCTAATTTATATATAATAATAATAATATCTTTTTAACAATTTATTACATATTATTTATCATATACAGTATTGACAAATTCCCGGAAACATAATACAATATTTTATATATAATTTTTTCCCTAAAATATTTTTAAATTTTTTTCATTATAATTAGTTAAAAAATAATTTTATACAAATTTAACTAGTACAATTACAAATAAAATTTTGACCGATTTTTATACTAATTATCACTATCTAATAATAATAAATGTAAATCACAGATTTTTTTAAAAATTAAATATCATTATATTGTACAGGTATTGAAATTTATATAAAACTTCTAAATCATTATTTTTTTTATAATAAATGAAAAAAATGTTTTTTAAACATCGTGATTAATATAAAAAGTGAGTTAACATTTTTGTTATATTATTTGAAGAGAAAAATACTGCTAAAATATGAGCGTAATAATAATATTTTTCAAAATTCAATATAACATTTACATTAAATATCATTTTTATATATTAAAACTACTTATCTTTAATTGACAGCTAATTAATGTTTAGTCAGACAGTAGGTATCTGTATTGTATTCAAGTGCTAAACTTTAATATTGTGTAATATAGGTGTACAATATATATATATATACAAAATTATATTAATATTTAAAAGTATAAAAGAGACATATAATTAAAGTATAATTTTTATCAAAAAAAAAAACAAATTTTATTTTATGTTAATCGTAATTAATATCTCTTTTTGAACATCTGTTGGTATTTTTTAAATGTTTTCAAATAATTTGTTCTCATATGTGAGCAAATTGTAATTCAATTTAACAAAAAAAATCTATTTTATATAGTATTCAAAAAAAATTACTGTATTTGACTAAATTTGAATATTTGTTGCATAATATTGTTGTTTGATACAATATTAAATAATTATTAAATAAAGTTTATTTATTATATATCTCACTCTGTTAGCAATTAATGTAAACACAATTTCAATGGCAATGTCATTAACAGCAAAATTATTTACTTAAAAAAATTGTTAATGTCTTTAATTAATTAAGACTGGAATTAACTGCAAATAATTTCTTTTAACTGCTATTTTGTGTTTCATTTGACTATTTTGCTTATAAAATAAATTAGAAGTAAAAAAAAGTGATAAAATAATAAACACACTAATAATGTGTATATAAATTGATAACTTTTTATATAATAATAAAAATAATAATTGATAAGAAATAATCTTTTAAAAATAATAACCAAATTAAACAATATATTAATAATTATATATATAATTAGAAAAAATTGCTGATTATCTCACAACATATAAAATTTAATGTAAGAGAGAGAGAGAGAGAGAGAGAGAGAGAGAGAGAGAAACAATGAGTCTTCATAAAGCAATAAATATCTAATAATTATGATTACAAATCAAATCCCCTGGATCTTAACAAAAAAAACTAGTATAGTAATTATTAATTAAAAAATTTTGTGCTAAATCGACAACAAAAAAATATTTAAAAATAATAGCAAATATATAATTTGATTGTAATTACTGGTATATAAAAATTTAAAATAATAATAATAAAACAATTATAACAACATTAATTAGACTCCATTAGGCAATTTCAATATAATAATTATAATAATAATAGAAAAGATGCCAAAATAATATATATATATAAAAGATATATTTGATAACTAAGGGGTAGAAGAGGTTGATTTTTTTTTATACCATTGTTTGATTTGACATATTTGCTGAAAACATATGTTTTTAGCAAATTTATGGTAAATCAAGCAAATCGTGTTCATCGAAAAGTTTTTCAGTGGCGTGAAAAACTTCGTCGGCAATCACTGCTAACCTATTCATACTATCGGATATGGTTACTGAAGACATGGATGACGGTACAGTACCGCCGTAGGCCCGTTGGACTAACTGATACCGATATGGCAGTGTATACATGGCTAGCGATGCCGATTGTTTAATAACCCACGGATGGTATTTAGCTAACGTACGTTTATAGCAAAGACGGGCCACTTCAGCCGTTCCCTTATCATCGTCCAGTCGGCTAACCTCAAGCATAAACTGTGCGACAAACTCCAGTGCCCGATGCAGTCTCAGTAGTGTTCGCGCACCCGACGGTCTCTTTGAAATGTCAATCTTTAGCAAATTACTTGTCTTCTCGTAGGCGATCATCGACTGTAATGTTTGATATTGATGTCCGTTTTCAGACTCTTTTAAATACACGTCCAATATATTGATTTTTGACTCGACATCGTTGGCCACAAAGACAAACACTTTGCCCAACAGATTGAAAAACCTTTTGGGGTTTATTTTGTGTACAGAAAAAAATGGTTTAAATGGTTTGACACAAATAAATAGTTTATTATTATTATTATTATTACCTCAAGAGTTCAGTAAATCCGCGCAAATAATGGGTCAAATCGATGGCATTTTTGTCTTCAATACACCTCTGGAGGGCCTCACAGACCAGTTCAATGTCGAAGGACTTCTTGATATCACCGGAAGTTTCGCCAGTTTTGTCCAAATTGTGTTCATTTTGTGTCTGAATCTTATGGTCAGCCATCGCAACAACCAATTGTATCCCAAAGTGATTGATTCAAATCACAAAACAATTAAATTTATTTATTTATTTAATAATAATAATCACTAAAAAATATATTAGTTATAAATAAGACATTTTTTTCTAAATACAATCAATTTGTTTACAATTATTATTATTATTTGTTTTAATAATAAATCCAAAAAATAAAATAAAATAATTTTCACAAAATGAAAATTAATGTAAAAAATATGTTATAAAAAATTTTTCGTAGTTTTTCTTAATTAATAAAAAGTGTTTGAAAAATTGTGTATTGATTTCAATGGACTCACAATTACTATACTGTAGTGTATATAATATACAGTAATTTACTACTAATAATAACAACAATAATACAACACTTTTACTATTTTATATGTACTGTAGTGTAAAACAACTGAGCATTTATTCAATCAATTGAAACCAAAAAAAACTAATAATTGTTTTTAACATTTAATACACGTTTTTATATACCAATGACTGTATAATTTGTGTTGTTATGTGTTTTGAGTGGATGGCCTTCACTGCCTAACATACATATGACAGCACATGCCTAATGTAAACTAAATGTATAAAATATACACTAAAACGCCTTAAACTGATGGCTTAACTGTCTAACATTGGTTTTTATATAACTTTTTTTTTAATTGATTTTATAAAACTTAAGTTAAACATTATTTCAGTACAACTAAATAGTATAGTATGAGTTGTATACTGTTTTTTTCTATCAATGAATTAATCAATTGATTTTAAAAATTAAATATTATATATATTTTTTAAAAATTTAATTAACAAATAAAACAGTTAATGACTGCAATGAATGATTAGAGAAATAGGTAGACCATGGATGACATGAATTCAATAGACAAACAAAAAGAGATTATAAACCGATGATGAATACAATGACAACGAAAGATCATTTAGTGGATAAACGAGTGGAAAGAGTGTCATAGAAATTATTAAACTAATTATCGAAAGAAAACATATTAAAGCAAAAAATATTTAAATAAATAAACTTTTTATTAAAACAAATTATATATCAATTGTCTGACAAAATAGATGATTGTCTAAATAGTTTTGTTTTTTTGTCTAAATTTTTTTTATGATTTACTATTATTTGTTGAATATTTTATGATTATAAAAATAACACTAATGTGAAAACTAACAATATTATAGTTATAAGTTGTAAATAATTATCAAAAGTTTTAAATTAAAAAAAAACTGGAGTTTAGTACAGTAGTTATAAGATATTTTCTATTGTGTTAATTAAAATTTAATTTACAGTATAATTGTCTCGTGAATTGTTAACAATAATGATTATTTAACTCTCGTGAAGACAACAATTAAATGTTTGAAAATTATTTAATTTTTGAAAATTCAAAATAATTCAATCAATTCGTTGAACAGATCAGTCGTTATAAATAAAGTTTTTTTTTGTTACAAAAATCGATAAAATTCTTCTAAATTCTGATTGAATTGAATTACTTGTAAAACTAAATCACAAGAAATGGCAGATCAAGAGAAACCAACCGAAGAGAAACCGAAAGCTGAGGCACCGGAAGAGAAAAAAGCCGACGAAAAGCCGACCGAAGAGACAAAGACTGATTCGAAAGACGAGAAAAAGGAGGAAAAGAAGGATAAGAAGGAATCAAAGTCGGGCTCAAAGTCAAGCACTAAACGCAAAGGAAAGGTAGATCTGTCGGAAGCAAAGATCGGTTTCCTCGGCGCCGGTAAGACAGCTGATGCCATCATTCGCGGTCTAATTCAATACGGAAAAGTAGATCCAAAGCGCATACATGTGTCGGCAAAGACTACAAAAAACTTGGAGACCATCAAACAGAAGGGCTGTCACATTACGAAACGGAATTACGATATATTCGCCAAATATGACTGCGATATAGTATTCCTGTGTTTTCACGGCTCAGTTATCAAAGAGTGCTACAAAATTGGTGGTTCGCGTCCGCATCCGTTGACCACAAATTTCATACCAAATATGAAACATCCATTGTATGTGCTATCGCTGGTCAGCGGTGTAAAGTTGGATCAGATCCGGGCGTGTCTATTGAATCCCGAACACCCGGACAAGTATATGATCGAAATGCACAGATTAAGCATCAGTACTGCTTGTGCTTATGGTTTGGGCATTACTGCCATCGATGTGGAACCGGACAGCAAAAAGTGTAGTCCACTAATAAGGGATATGCTGTCAACCATATCGAAGCTCGAGTACATACCCGAAAGCCAGATGGACTCGGCCTGTGCTCTGGGAGGCAACGGATTGGCGTTTGTCTACTATTTTATCAATTCTCTGGCCGACGGCGCCTTCAAGATGGGTCTCAATCGTCAAACGGCTACAAAATTTGCCGCCAAAACCGTACAGTGCGCGGCACTGACGCTACTAGAGTCGGGTAAACATCCGTCAGAGCTAAAGGATAGCTGCACTTCGCCATCTGGACCCGCCATTTATGGCATCCATGTGCTCGACAAAGCAGATGTTGCCTCAGGAGTGGCCGGTGCTGTAGAAGCGGCGCACAAGAGGGCCAAAGAATTAGCAGAAGAACTACCAAATTAAACAAATTATCCTACAATTTGGTCGACCGAACAAACACTTCCAACATTTCAAACACATTTCGGTTGTAGTCATCATTCAATCATTCATTCATTCAATCAATTTGTTTCTCAATTTAAGTCATTTATTAAACAAAAATTGTTTTCAAATATTATTATTTTCAATACAAATCAATTCAAATAAAAAAATTGTTTAAAATTAACTATATTTTCTATTTTATTCAAATATTCTATTTTTTAATGTAATTAAAATAATATTTCTATTTATTGTTTTATCACTTGATTTCTATCCTATACTCTCATAGAATCTGTAGATTCTTTAGACACTGATTTTTACAATAAATTCAGTGACATTACAGACAACGGGTAGACCATTGATAAGAAATTATACATTTATTATGTAATGTAAAATATAATTGATTTTTTGGTTGTGATCCAAATTGTGGATCAGTTGACAATTTGTTTTGTTGCTATAACTTTTGTGTTTGTTACTAATATTGACTGAAAAATATGATGTTTCATATGATACAGCTTTTGGTTTTTTGTTTGTTTAATTATTTTATTTGAATATCAATTGTTTAAAACTTTTTTTTTTAATTTATTTAAAGTTAACTTTTATTTACAGAATCATTCAATCATTCAATGAATGGAATATTAATATAACGTATTGTATTAATAGTCGTAATGTATTGTAAATATCAAAAGTAAATCTGTTTTTATTATTAAAGTATTAGTCAATGATTTGCAAGTTTTTTGCACTCATTTGTTGGCAAATAAAAACATTTATTGTCTAAATTTGATCCCAAAAGACATTATTATCAGCAAATAGTAAATGGCTTTTGCAGTAAAGACACCGCTGATGGAGACGATGCCGACCGCTGTGGGCGGCCATCAAAATGCCCAGCATTTGGACGCTTTGATTCCCGATTGGATGCGTGAAGAAGTGTCCACTGGAGTGAGTATATCATAGTCGCCGATATATATATGACAAACACTCTTACCATTTGCTGACCATCTGATGATTATTATTATTTGATTGTAGACATCCATAATGGCTGTAGAGTTTGATGGCGGTGTTGTCATCGGAGCCGATTCGCGTACAACCTCTGGGTATTTGATCCGATATTTATGATAAATAACATTATTTTTTTTATTGTCATTTTGTAACCACTTCTTGTATTTAGAGCATACATTGCCAACCGAGTGACCGATAAGTTGACCCGAATTACCGATAATGTCTATTGTTGTCGTTCGGGATCTGCAGCCGACACTCAGGCCATCGCTGATGTTGTGTCTTATCATTTGAATTTTTATGAGTAAGTTTTTTTTGTTTGTTTAATTGGCGACCAAATGATTGATTGTTTAAAACCGATTTCTGGGTTACAATTTGTGTCCAGAATGGAAACGGGAGAACCGGCAACTGTCCGAACTGCGGCCAATATATTCCGCGAGATGTGCTATAAATACAGGGACTCGTTGTTGGCCGGAATCATATGCGCCGGTTGGGACAGACGTGAAGGCGGAAAGGTATGTCAGACATACACACACATTGACTTCAATATTGACTTTTTTGATTAAATAATCGCAAAACAGGTATTTACTCTACCGTTGGGCGGAATGTTGGTCAACGAAAAGTGTGCAATCGGTGGTTCCGGCAGTACCTATATCTATGGTTTTGTCGACTCTAACTACAAGCCCAATATGACTGAAGAAGAGACGATGAAGTTTGTGGCCAACGGTATGTCTTTTTTTTTGTCGATTAGTTTAATTTAGAGAAAAAAAGTTTTTTATTTAATTAATTGATTCAATGGTATAGCCCTATCACTTGCTATGGCTCGCGACGGTTCCAGCGGTGGTGTCATACGACTTGCTGTCATCAATAAGGATGGCATTAAGCGACACGTGATTACTGGCGATGATATTCCCAAACATTATGAAGGATAACCCTCTTTAACAAAATATTTGTTTTTGTCATTATTTTTATTATCTAAACATTTAATTGTTTAATTTATTGAACAAAAAAAAATATTCAATAAAATAAGACATTTATTATTAAATTAATTTAAATATATATATTATTTATTTGTGTGATTAATAGTGGTTAATATGGTGATGACCTACTGTTGCAGTTTTTTGTTTATCAAACTCTGCCTCACTGATGATGTACATCCCTGTTGTTATCAATTGTTTACTGAAAATCTTTTGATTTTATTTAGAAGAACGGAAATCCCGTTTCCATTTCCACCGATGCAATACACATACACTCACTGATTGATTGACTGACTGACTGTCTGTCATATATTTTATTCATATATTTTTTTGTTGTTAATCACATCTTCCTTACCAATTGTTTGACAAATTGTTAGGCAATATGTTATTCAATAATAATTAGTTGTTATTAATTAATTTGTTTTATAATAGTAATAATTAAAATTTAAAAAAAATGAAACAATGATTTAATGTTGAATGAATACTATGTGTCCGGCGGCGTCAGCCAACACTTACGATGTCTGGTCTACAGTGGAACCGACTATCGATGTCGATGTCCTAATGCCAAACGGAACTCTCATTACGATTAATGTCGACAAAGAGATCACTTTTTCTGAGATTAAAGAGGTTTCAAAAAAAACTTTATATAATAAATAAATGTCTTTATATTTCTTTTTATTTGTAAAGTTGTATAATTAAAAATATTATTATTATTATTACATATTCTATAATTTCAATAATCTTTAAATAAGTTATTTTATTTAATTACTGTATATTTATATAGATATTGTTTGAAGATGAGTGTCAAAGTCAACCACTTTATGGTGCACTTCATGACAAACAAAAGTATATATTCACTTATGTCAATACGGGTAACCAACAGGAATTGGTCGACGACGACGTACGACTGTGCGATGTCTGTCCCTTTCTGGCACTGTTAACACTTGTCGAGAGGAAGGGCGATAAGGCGGCCCTTCAGTTGGATACACAAATCGGAATACTTATAGGAAAAAGTATAAAACATTTTTTGTTTTATTTTTCTTAACTGTAATTATGTTTATGTTTTTTTTGTTGTATTATATTTGTATTTTTTTAAAAATTATTGTATTATAAAATACGAAAAACAGATCTCAAAGAGTTTGATTCGCTAAAGAATCCCGAAGTAAATGATTTTCGATTCAAAATGAGAGCCTATGCTGAGGAAGTGTCACAACAAAGAGAAAGTAAGACATGGATTGAGAAAATTCTCTATCAGTTTCCCATTAGTATTGATTATAGTCGAGAACTGCCCACATATCTCAGGGATAGACTACAAAAATGTCCCGAAATTAACATTAAGTTGCGATTCGAGGACTCATCGGTTTGTGAAAAATATTTTTATCATAATTTTTACAATAAAGTGTATGAATTTATTTATGATATTATATACTATTATTGTTATTAATATTATTATAATAATAATAAATCCTAAGCATAATTTAGTATTCAATTAATGAGTTTAATAACTATAAAATTGTTGACAAAAAATAGTATTGTCAAGAATTGGCTGTAAGTTACGATTCAAAGGCGGAACAAATACTTCAGTTTGCCATCGATAACGACGCAGAAGCCTATATCACTGCAAAAGATTATTTGCTTAAAATCAATGGTAGACTTGAATATCTATTAGGAGACTATCAACTAATTCAATATAAAGTAAATCTAAATTTTTAATCTAATATTAAGAATATTCTGAAAGAATTATAACTATAACTTTAATATAAAAAAAGCCAATACAAGGAATGATAGTTAACAGCGAAACGCCGTATTTGGTGGCTGTCCTTAAATCAAGCATTGAATGTAAAAATCTCAGACTTTTTATATATAAATTAAATTAAATAATATTATAAACTAAATTTGTTTTTTTGATAGTCGAAGAAGAATCGATATATTCTATACCAGACTTTAGTCGTTTGCGTTCGCCATCGGTTGTGTCCATTACGGGTACATCAAGACGTCGTATTCAATCGACCAGTTCGTGGACTATTGAAAGAAAACTAGTGATACACATCAATAGTGCCCAACGAATCATAAATCCCGATAATACCAAAGTTGTCATAATGTGCGGTCTTTTTCACGGCGGCGAACAGCTCTGCGATACGCAGATGTCTTCGCCAGTGATGCCCAACGAGTCGGGCGACGGCCAGTGGGAAGAGGATATATTTCTCGACATAAAGATTTGTGATATTCCGCGAATGTCTAGATTGTGTTTCGCTGTAGTGGCCATCGGTAACAGTTCAAAGAAAGCCAAATCCAAGCAAACACCGCTGACGTGGGCCAACACAAACATATTTGACTTCAAAAACATACTGAAAGTGGGATCCATTACGATGTCGATGTGGAACAGTCATCAGCAAACTGTCGACGAATCAGAAGTGGAAGTGTTTAACTCATTGGGAACAGTAGTGCCAAATCCCAATGTTGAACAATCGACATGTCTGACCATAACATTTAATAAGTACAACAACGGTGACACACAAATTGTATTTCCATCGATGTATGATATCGTCAAAGAGACACAACTAAGCAAAAGTGATTCGTTCGACGAAAACCAAACCAGTGATGATCTACCAGTCGCTCCATCAAGGAATACAAGACACGCCAGCAAACAGTTTGTCGAACAGATCCGAGAGATATGCGACAGAGATCTCTTGCATAAGATTACAGATCAGGAAAGAGAACTCTTGTGGTTCTTGCGTGAAGACTGTCGAAGTCTTTTACCGCAATCACTCAACAAACTGTTGATATCATTCAAATGGAATAACCATAAATTGGTGGCACAAGTCTTAAGTTTTCTTCAGGAATGGCCAAAACTCGAACCTGAAAAAGCACTCGAACTACTAGACTATGCCTACGCTGACTGTTGGGTCAGAAAGTTTGCCATTGAATGTCTCAAAGGTTTTGGTTATAGTTAAACATAAGTTTTAGAAAAGATTTTTAAAGATTTTTATTTTTGTCAATTAGGACTGACTGATGAAGAACTGTCACTTTATTTGTTACAATTAGTTCAGGCACTCAAATACGAGTCCTATATGTACTGTGATTTAGTGCACTTTCTGTTGGAAAGGGCTTTCAATAACCAGAGAATCGGACACTCATTGTTTTGGCTGTTGAGAAGTGAAATGCACGAACCGGCCGTTTCGGTCATCTTTGGACTCATACTCGAAGGTGTGTACAACTAATAAGATTATATTTTCTGGATATACTGTTTGGTATTCTATGTATATATATATACTGTATATCATTAATGATGGTAAAGCCTACTGTAGAGGTGCGATGGACCACATGAACCAATTGATGCGCCAAATGGAAGCGCTGAGCAAATTGAAGAGAGTCAACGAAATGGTCAGAGACGACAAAAACCGAGACAATAGGGACAGAAAGATAGCACTCATGCAGAACATTATGAGCCAAAAGTACTACGAAGAGACACTCTTCCAGATAATCAATCCGTTGAATCCCATCTATAAGTTGGGATCTCTTCGTACAAATAAATGCAAATTCATGGACTCTAAGATGAAGCCTCTGTGGTTGGTCTTCAAGAATGAAGATGAAGGCGCCTCTGATACGTATATAATCTTCAAGAATGGAGACGGTATGGCTGTATTGGAGATGACTTTATTATTTCATTCATTTTTTATCCAATTTATTTCAATTAACTTTCGTTTTTTTGTTGGTTTATCAGACCTGAGACAAGACATGTTGACACTGCAAATGATAAGAATTATGGATAAACTTTGGAAAGACGAAGGACTGGACTTCAGAATGAATCCCTACCGATGCATATCGACAAACCATAACGTGGGGCTCATTGAAGTGGTACTCAATGCCGACACCATTGCTAACATACAGAAAGAGAAGGCCGTGACAGCCATCGCAGTCTTCAAGAAAGATCCACTTCTGTTGTGGCTTAAGGATCACAATCCGACTGAAGAGAGTCTTAATATGGCTATTGAAGAGTTCACACTGAGTTGTGCCGGTTATTGTGTGGCCACTTATATCTTAGGTATAGCTGATCGACACAACGACAATATTATGGTTACCAGAAATGGACAGTTGTTTCACATAGATTTTGGTCATATTTTGGGCAAATTTAAGGAAAAGTTTGGTATTAGACGCGAAAGAGTGCCATTTGTTTTGACCAATGATTTTGTTTATGTCATAACTCATGGCCAGAAACCCGAGCGCTCCGATGACTTCAATCGGTTTCAACAGTACTGCGAACAGGCGTTTATGATAATCCGTAAGAGAGGTTCGTTTATCATCTCACTGTTTGCAATGATGTTGTCTACTGGCATACCGGAGCTGTCGTCGGTCAGCGATTTAGACTACTTGCGAGAGACTCTGGTGCTCGATCTGACCGAAGAACAGGCCAGAAATCACTTTCGGTCAAAGTTTACCGAAGCTCTCAAAAACAGTTGGAAAACATCTCTCAATTGGTGGGCGCACTCAATGGCCAAAGACAACAAAATGGCCGATTAATTGATCTCATAGTATGTGACAAACATTTAGTGACCAAAAATAAAACGGACAAAAATATCTAAAAATAATTATTCTAATTAATGATATTATTTTTTTATTGCAAATTAACTGTAAACTGTTATTTTAAATAATATATAGATATATAAATTGTTATACTAATATTACCGGTATATAATAAATGTTAAAATTCTAAGTCTAGTCAAAATTAAATACTAAATAATATAATTAATTTAAACAAAAATATTATTTGCAGGGAATTGTAGGTTAAAAATACAGTCAAATCATTAGAAAATCAAAATGTTTTGAACATCAAGTACTGGTAATCGACTTTCGAAACTAATTAGGAAATAATACATACATTCAGACACACTAGTCGTCAGTTTCATTGTATGCGAGCGTCGGTAACATAAACGCCGACCAAATTATAATCTCTGGTCAGTCGTCGGGCGAAAGCAATAAAATTATAATTACCGGTAGTAATAAATTACTAATCATTATACAAGTTTAAAATTTTGGTAAATTTTATTATTTATTTTTTGTTAAAATAATTTATACCAACCTTTTAGTTTACTGTTACCGATAATATTACCTAAATGTACACAATTACTAATAAATTGAATTAAATTAATATTTGAAAATAAATTTTTCAATTTTTATTGATTTTCACTATTAAAGTTGTTGTTTTCATTCATCAGTTACATTACATTTAGCTCTAATTATAATTATTGTAAATTACTATAAATAAAAAAAATATTTATTTTAATTGTAACTAAAAACATGATTTAAATTTTAAAATATTTGGTGAAAGAGTTATCTAATTATGTGTCGAGAGATTGATATTCTAAACCCAATATATAAATACCTTTTTAGTGTATTTTTTAAAAACAATGATTTGCTGAGTAATTATTAATTAATTAATTTTTATGTTTAAAAACCTAAGTCTAGAAAGAAGTTTTTCAATTATGTAAATAGTTTCCCAGTTTATAGTATTGCGAGACAATTATAATTAATGCTAAAATTTTTAATTAACGCCTATTATAACAATGCTTTGATCTCGTCATAGAGTACTAACACAAACGCACCGCCGGTACCCCTGAATACGTTAGAGAGGGCGCCCTTAAAGAAGGCCTTCGAGCCCTCCGTTTTGGCGATTTTACCCCAACAATGAATAGTATTCTTATACATCCTCTCATTGGCCGCCAGTCCCGACTGCATCATCATTCGTCGTCTGACTGTATCGAATGGATACGAGATTATACCCGAAACAGTGGTCACACATTGAGCGATAAGCCATGAGATGACTATCGGTGTGTTTTTCGGGTCCGGAAGCATACCCTTCGCTGTGTCAAAGAAACCAAAATATGCCGCTCTGTAGATGATTATACCTATTGATGATTGAAATCAATTAATGGTTAGATATAATTTAAACACATCATTAATTATCAATAGTATTATTACAAACCTTGAACAGAGACATTGAAACCTCTGTAGAGACCAATCAAACCGTCAGATTTATACACTTTAGCTAAACAATCGCCTAAACCTTTGAACTGTCGTTCGCTTGTTTTGCCGATATCAGCGGCCAAACGGGTTCGGGCAAAATCAAGTGGATATACAAAACACAGTGATGTGGCACCGGCTGCTCCACCAGAAGCCAAGTTTCCCACAAACCATCGCCAGAATTGAGTCTTTTTGTCGACGCCTCCCAAGAATACCTGTTTATACTTGTCTTTGAATGCAAAGTTGAGGGCCTGAGTCGGGAAATATCGGATAACATTCGCCAGATTTCCCCTCCAGTATGACATTATTCCCTGTTCTTTGGGAATTCGCACGAATGCATCGATAATACCTATCGGACAACAAAATCAAATACAATATTTAATTAATCAATCAATCAGTCTATCACTCAATCAATACCTTTATATCTTTTGCTTTCCTCTATCTGTTTGGAGGCGTGTTGTACCTGAAGAAGCAGTTTGACTCTCTCGATGGGCGCAACCGCTGTCTTAGAGATGGCCGCAGACACACCACCGGCGATGAAATCTTTAGCAAACGATACCGCGTCGATTGGCATACTATTTAGGGGGAACCGGGAGGTCAGTGTTAGTTTAATTACAACCAATTATCAATTAAAATCAACATTTGTTATGACAACTATTTTTTATAGACATTATGGCATCCAATAAATAACTGATTCACTATCACCTAATCAATCATCAATTGATTTCTTAAAATTTAGGTCAATTAAAGTCATGACCTCTAAAATCAAGGTCATAGCAAATGTCATTTAAAGTGCAATTAGTGGTCAACTATTAAATTAATAGGTTTCAATTGGTCATCCCATATGACTGACCACCACTACTATTACTACTATACCCGGGGTATCATATAAGTGGGACATTAGGTTATAAATAGCAAATTGAAATGACATTTATATTATTAACCCATAATTATTGTGATAATCAATAGCGAGAGTGAAAACCCAGTTATCGGATAACACTGAAGACATTGTTATCTCATACCTGAATAATATCTGGCGATAGGTTTGTGGTCAACAAAAAACAAATGATTACTTGATTTGTTGGACAATTCAAATCAATTGGATTTTTATTATACAGTATATAATGCCGACAGAAGACCGACTGACTCTCAAAGCATTAATCAAAAAAAACTATTAAACGATTCAATAGTATTGTAGAGTAGAGTACAAGTGTTGGGCGGAAAAGGAAACCCAATGGCACTGACAGTCAGTCAGTCTGACTGGTTGTCTATGTTTCAGTACAGACACCAGAGGTCGACAGTCAATACATATCATGTTGACTGAGACTACTTGTCTCTCTCTCTCTCTCTCTCTCTCTCTCTCTCTCTCTCTCTCTCTCTCTCTCTCTCTCTTAGATAACTACAGTATTACATCATTGTATTAAATAATAATTATTGTATCAAATGATAGACTGATATTTTAAAACAATACTAAATAATAATAATTATTATTTTTTGGTGACTTTAGTAATATTAAATAACTTTTTTGTTATTGATTAATAATCATATGTAACTTTTCAAATATTTCATTATTTAAAACAATTATTATTTGTTTTATCATATACTGTAATATAAAATATCTGTCTGTATGTATAAAATTGTTTGTAATAATTAATAATTTTGTTAAACATAAAAAATGATATAATTATTAAACTTTTTTAAACAAAATATTAAATAAATAGAGTATTTAGAATTTAATAGTTAAATAAAATATTCAATATCTAATATATTTATATAAAATAAATTACATGACTTAAATATTAATATCAATATCAAATTTATAATTTAATCATATAGTCCTATAATTAATTTATATAAAAGAAAAAAATTAAGTTTGTATTATAATTTAATTAAATAAATTTATAAATAATATATATACATATAATATGTAATTTATACATTAAGCTTATAAGTTATGTAGAAATAAATAAATAAAATTTTTTAAATAAAATCATTTGCCATTATAAATATTATATAAAAGAATAAAAAATTGTTTTTTATTTAACTGTAAAAAACAAGATTTTTTACAAACGTTTTTTTCAAATTTTATAAATTTTATTTAATTTAAATAATACAAAATTATACTTTAATTCAATTCATAGGTTTGAATTGATATCCAGTCTATCTGTTAATACTATTATATATTACATGTATATATCGTTTAGTAATGTTTATGATATATTATGCAATTCAGTATCTTTTTAGTGTCTAAATTATCCCACAAAATACAATACAATACAATGTCATTGATTTATTCACTCATAAATAAAAGCATTTTATATATTCACTTGTTTTTTGTGTGTAAAATATTGCAATACTTGCACTTTATTTATTTTTTTTGGTTACAAACAATAAAAAAATGCAATCAAATAAATAACATCTCAGTTATACTATTTTAGTGCCCGTTATAAATGTGAACCAAACTCATTATGATATACGGTATATATATATATACAGTATATTAGTGGTGTTAGTTGGGCTGAAAATTTCGTTTAAGTCCCGTCCTGTCCCGTCTTACAAGTCCTGTTAAATGTTATCAGTTTATATAGTATACAACAGTAAAGTTCAGGAATGTTATTATAATATTGGGGAAGTTGGATATGAAATGTCGGTTTAATAGTGTATAAATGTGACGTTGTTTTTGAACGGTATAGAACATTATAAAAAATTGATTTTATTGCAAATGTAAACTTTAATAGTCTAAGTGTTTAATAGTTATTTTATATTATTTTATTTATGTATAAATAATAATTTTAAAACAAATTTTTTCAAGGTATTTCATAAAAATTTTTGAGATGAAACTTTTCTATGCTATAAAATGATCGCCAGTAGACGCTAAAATTACAAAAAATGCTATTTACAAAGCTGCTAATTAGTAGTATTTTTTAAAAATTTGTTTAAATTTTTACAAGTATATATTATGACTTCAAAAACAAAAAAAAATGTTAAAATGTCTAAAAACGAAATTCTTGAAACTCTAATTTTAAAAATTTGAAACTAACTAATCTAACATATATTGATATTATTAGGTAGTGCTAATACATTGCTACCAATGAAGTTATATTTGCCGTTTTTAATTAAAACTACTATTTTTACTTTAGAGCTTAACCAATATACAATCATTTTTAAAAAATTATACAGTATTATGATTTAGTTAACATAATATTTTTAAAAATATTATATTAATACTTAACACTAAAATTTGTGACTAAATGACTAAATATGTGTTAAATATTTTTTTTGTGAATGAGTTTTGTAGCAATAAATTAGGTATTTTTTTTGTCCCGTTCCTATACAAGACAGGATCTTGCAAGACCAAGATCCTGTTTTACACTCTTAATATATATATATATATATATATATATATATATATATATATATATGATTGTATTATATATCATATTAAGTATAGGATTATGTATATTGTAATATAATAAAATGAAAATATCATAATAAATATCAAAAATATTGTTAAAATCATAGCAAATCTACTGTAATTTATAATGTATTCAACAAAATTTTATTAGTGCAAGTATTACAGTTAATATACAATATATACTGTAGATATATATACATATAAATTTTATATATTATATTGCAAGATATAGCAAACTATTTAATATAATGTCTACTATTGGATCAATAATATCAATGCTAGTAATAGTACTCAACGGGTATTAGGTTTATTAAAAACCTATGTTTTTTAAAATGAATAATAATAATAGCAAATAGTAATAATCAGAGTTTCGTATTACTATTAAATATAACATAAATTTAGTCAAATCACTGACAAATAGATCACAATTTTTCTGTTTTGTTGTCAATGTCATTGTGTTGTCTAATATTACAGAATATTCTGTTTCTAGTCTTTAATCTACAATATTCTCTCTCTTTCTTATATATACAGTACTCATACTTCAAAACACTATAGAAAAGTTGTTTTTATGTATTATACTGAATATACAGTTATATATATTAATAAAGTTTGGAATATTATTAATCATATTTATTGATATATTATATGTTGACTGCAAAAAAACAAAATGATGTTTTGTCATAAATTTATATATTACTTATACAAATACTATATATCTATTCTGATATATATATATCTAGTGATTAATTTGCAATATTATGTGAAATAATTAACGAATAAATAAATAATAATGAAAATTAATTATTTCAAACAAAATTAATACTATACTACATATATATATATATATATATATAATATTACTCTATATATGATATTATATAAGAATGAGTTTAATATAATTTAAAATAAGATAAATACAAAAATAATGAACTCATAGAGTGTGTGTCATATTGAAGTCAAAGATATCAATTCAGGATTTTATTCACATTTATTAAAAGAAATTTATTTTCAATTTTTAGTTTTAGTTTTTATATACATTTATTATTATTTGTATTTTTCTGGTAAATAGTTTCTGTCTATCGTTTGGATACGCCATTAGTCAAGAGATTTCATGAACTATATATATATATATATAGAGAGAGAGAGAGAGAGAGAGAGAGAGAGAGAGAATAACAAAATATTTTCAATTTTTGTTACAAAAAGAAAATAATATATCAGTTCTATTCGTTCGCTAGAGAATTGAGAGCAAAAATATTTAGAATAATATATACTATTATTTTAAGTAATTTTAGAAATAGTTGGGAATTGTCTACAAATATATAGATATAATAAAAAAATTATTTGAATATTTAAATATTTTTTTTATAAATAAATGAGTCGTCAATCCGAGAACTGGGATGACATTCAATATTATTATACAGTATTAGACATATTGTTGTTGTTGTTGTTATATATATTTAATCTTTATTCATTAAAAATATTTATAAAAAAAATAAAAATCATATATATATTAAGTATAAGATATAAACTATTGTATAGAGATATGACACAATTATTTTATAAAATTTTACCCAATTTGTTTTAAACAAACCCAAATGTTTAAAAAAACATAAAACAGATTATAATCAAAAATATTTTAATAATCTATTATTTTTTGATATTTTTTATTAGTATTTTTATATTATTTCATATTAAAATTTCTCAGAATGTATTTTTTCGCTATTATATTATATCGAAATATTATACTTAAGTATAAATAATTTAATGAGAAAAATAAAAATTTTATTGGCACTAAAATTATTTGAACATATGATTTACATTGGATGTGTCAACATTGCGTAATCTATTAAATTAAATCTATAAAATATAATTACCCTTTTTTCTTTCATATATAAAATATAATTGATTATTAAATTTATTTTTGTTATTATAAAATTATATACAATAATAAAGGTTTATCTAAAACATTTTTTGAAAATATGGATTAAATATCTTTAATAAATAGAAATAATATTTTATATCTAAATGTTAGCATACTAAATACAGTATGTTTCAATAAGTAGATAAACGTTATATAAATATAATTATTAATTTTTTATATATAAAATATTAATTATGTTTTTATTTGTTATAATATTTATATTTTAAAAAATCTGATTTAATATTTCCAATTAGTTATTAAATAGCAATTATTAGAAAAATATTCACAAAAAATTGACATTTAATTTATAAACTAATTTATTATATTTTGAGTAACTTCTAATATATTTTGTGTGTTATATTATATATATAATATATATATAAAAATATTGTTGTCAAAAACACATGATTTATTAACTGAAAAATCATTGTTTAGTGGTTTATATTGGAAAAATTAGTTATGACATTTTGATATATCTATATCTAATAGATATAACAATAGTTTTTTTTGAGTTTGAGTTTGCTTTAGTAATTGGTTTATTCAATTAGTTGTGTCTATAATATATAGACTCTAAATGTTATTATTATTATACCATACAATATTATACATACTATAACATGTCATCAAAAATATAAATAAATTTAGTTGTCAATATTTGCATATTATTTTCACAAAATTAATTTTTTTTAATGCATTCACTATAATAATAATTATTATAGTCAGAAATGTTTTATTTTTTGAGAATTTTAAACATTTTAATTAATTTATAATAAAAATAAATTAAATTTATTTAACTATTAAATAATATTTTTATATAATTTGAATTATTTTCTATTTATATAAAATATATATAACTAAATTGTGTGATAATTCATAAATTTGAAATAATAATTATTTAATAATATAAAATTATAATATATTT